CCCGTGCCCCTTTAAGGAGTCGGGGCCGGGAGGGGGGGCAATAGAGTTTCCCTGGTGTTGGCCAGAGTGGCCACCAGGGAAAGCTGGGGAGGGCTAGCCTCCCACTAGTTCGAATTAAGGGGCTACACAGCCCTTAATTCGAACTAGTAAGTTCGAACTAGGCTTAGCCCTCGTAGAATGAGGTTTACCTAGTTCGAACTAAGCGCTCCGCTAGTTCGAATTAAGTTTGAACTAGCGGAGCGCTAGTGTAGTGCCTATCAAAGTTAATTCGAACTAACGTCCATTAGTTCGAATTAACTTTGTAGTGTAGACATACCCTTAGATATATCAGCAGCCAGAAAAAAAACCAGAGCACTGTGTTCTCAAATGTCCTATTCTTCTTAAACTACACCTCAGGCTATGTGAATTGTTCTGTTTCCAGATCTGTCATTTTGTTATTTCAAGAGGTGACAAGAGTTTAGAGTTTCATTACCATAGACTGTTCATCAACAAAAATCTTCTGTCCAGTGACTTTCTTGAAGAGGTTAGCAGGAAACCCAGATCTTTGGTCTGCCACATATTCAAAAATGTTATTCTTCCTACAAGAACAAGGACATAGATACTGTCATCTATTGTGTCTCCCCTTATTCAAATGGATTTAGAGGGTCCCTTCTTTATGTGTTTCTTGGGCTACAAAAATATCCAACTCCACAAGGCAGAGTTGTTAAATAAAGTCCACAATCTATATTGAGATTCCTAGTAGCAGAGCTTCAAACATAGCACATATTGTTCTTTGTACTTTTCTAATGATAATCTGGAAACATGCTATGCTGGAATGCAAACTTGGAGACTGTCATTTAAACTCAGTTGTAATGGATCTTAACTTATGTTACCAGCCTACTGAAATGTTCAAGTGGGGGTATGTCTACACTACAAAGTTAATTCGCACTAACAGCCATTAGTTCGAATTAACTTTAATAGTGGCTACACATACAAACCGCTAGTTTGAATTTAAATCGAACTAGAGGATCACTTAATTCGAACTAGGTAAACCTCATTCTACGAGGAGTAACACCTAGTTCAAATTAAGTAGTTTGAATTAAGGTCTGTGTAGCCACTTAATTCGAACTAGTTGGAGGCTAGCCCTTCCCAGGTTGCCCTGGTGGCCACTCTGGGCCAAACCAGGGAAACTCTTCTGCTCCCCTCCCGGCCCCGGAGCCCATAAAGGGGCAACAGTGCTTGTGCCAGCTGCAAGCCTGCCAGCACCCAGCCAGCAGACCTTGCACCTGGCACAGCATAAACCAGCCACCTGCTGCCACCCAGCCCTCCACCTCTTCCCAGGACCAGGCTGGTGGCTCACAGGAGCCTGCCCAGGGCCGCAAGAGGCGGATGTCCGCCTGGTCTAGTGCGGAGATCATGGACCTCATCCAGGTTTGGGGGGGGAGGAGGAGGCCTCCAACGTCCACGATCTCCGCACTAGGGACAGGAATGCGGCCGTCTATCGCAGGATAGCTGCCAGCCTGGCCACCAAAGGCCACATGCGAACCCAGGAGCAGGTTTGCATGAAAATCAAGTTGGTCCAGTGAGACCCCCCGACCCTGAGCTTAGAATGTAAGAACATAAGAATGGCCGTACTGGGTCAAACCAAAGGTCCATCTAGCCCAGTAGCCTGTCTGCTGACAGCGGCCGGTACCAAGTACCCCGGACGGGATGGACCGAAGACAATAACCAAGCGATTTGTCTCGTGCCATCCATCTCCAGCCTTCCACAAACAGAAGCCAGGGACACCATTCCTACACCCTGGCTAATAGCACTCCATGGACCCAACCTCCATGAATTTATCTAACTTCTCTTTAAACTCTGTTATAGTTCTAGCCTTCACAGCCTCCTGTGGCAAGGAGTTCCACAGGTTGACTATGTGCTATGTGAAGAAGAACTTTTGCTTATTAGTTTTAAACCTGCTGCCCATTAATTTCATTTGGTGTCCTCTAGTCCTTATGTTATGGGAACTAATGAAGAATTTTTCTTTATTCACTCTCTCCACACCACTCATGATTTTATATACCTCTATCATATTCCCCCTCAGTCTCCTCTTTTCTAAGCTGAAAAGTCCCTGTCTCTTTAGCCTTAACTTCGGTTCAGGGTCCACTCAATGTGGACATGTTATTTCAAATTAGCAAAACGCTAATTCGAATTAGCTTATTTCAAATTAACTAAGTTAGTTCGTATTAGTGCTGTAGTGTAGACATACCCTGGTTTATTTATATTTCTTCTTTGTAACAAGCCTTTTACGAAGCCCATCAAGTGATATTAAAATAAAATGCCTGTAAAAATTGTAAATATTAAAATAACAACGGTTGAACACTATTAAATTGGTGACTGGGCCAATAGAGAACATCTGAAATAAACCCCAGTCAATCTGGGAACTCTAACCCAGCCCGGAGACAGGAAAGTCAAAGAAGATACTGCCCTGCACTAGATTAGCAGAGATATAGCATACAAAGCAAGAGGTGAAACTGCCATTCTGCAGGCACTTTTAGACCACCCCGTCCATGTGCTACACTGGTCATCGAATCAGAGCAAAACATTTTCTCTCCTTCATATGAAGTGCATCCTAGGACAATAAGGATCGCATGATGTTAAATGAGCAGGGGAAAACTCTCCTCTTCGCTACTGGGACTCCTCCCTAAACAGTCAACATTTATTAAACAGCCATTGATGTGATACTAAATCCAATCCTAATCGACATTTCTTTGTTGCAGGCACAACATCAGGGAGATGACCTGGTGACATAGTCCATAGCTTTGATCTGATCTTAGCAAAAGGCCACAACTAAGCTTTCAACTTCACTGTGATTACTGTAAATGCGAATGACGTTTGTCTCTTCCAACCTCTTTCTTAAGGTGCTGGCCTGGAGCTTCCTGGTAAATTTCAACTGACTTTTTGAAATGATAATGTATGTATGTGTATATGCATATAGCCTGACTTCCTGAAGCGGGTAATGTTCCTGAAAAGCTACCAGGGCCTCTTCCTGAGGGAAAGCAGTACATCACAATCTGGCCTGGCAGAACATTGCTTAAACCCTGTATGTACCACAGTGAAGCAGAAGGAGCTTTTCTGCAATTATCTATAGTTTATTAGACTTGCCATTTGACTTGCAGCTCAATGTAGTACAGCAACTGTCCTCTTCCTGCACACTTCATGCAGGTTTTGTGGCCGGAACCAGAACAACTGTTGCATCTGGAAACAAAGAATGATAATTACAGTGGATGGATAATTACAGAGAAACTACCACCCCCGTGATTTTGGATACATTCAATGTGTGTGTGTGCACATATAAACACGTGGTACACTTCATTTTACGTCACACCAGGGGGCCAGTTCAGCTGATGCTTATTATTTGCCATAATGTCTATTGCCAGACATTGTCTCATTGAAGGACAAGACTTAAATAAAATCACTGATTCGTGGACTCATTGCAGTAATTATACTTGAACCTCTTTAATTTGACAACCCTGGGAAACAGGGTATGCTGCAGGGATGTAACAAGGGCGAGGCAAGTGAAGCACTTGCCTAGGGTGCATAGCTGAGGGGGAGCAGAAAAATATTATAGAAAACTTATTATTTTAAGACAGCACTGCATCTGTTCAACTTCACTGCAATGCCTTGGATAGCCAGTGCCCCCAAAGCACTAGAGCAATGTTTTTCTCCAAGCACAGCAGTTCAGTTTCATGTACACGATGGTTTTGCCACTGAGGTACTTCCACCCTCTCAGAAAAATGGGACAGTATAATCAGTCAAAGAGACTGACCTTCCTCCCAAAGCTATACATTCTTCTCAGCTGTAATTTCAAAGAATAGATCTTCTAGGGCTAGGCTGATGCTGACGTTGATTTCTCCAACTGCCCTCTCTAGCTTCCTCTCTAGCTGACAGCTCCTTAAAGAAGCCATCAGAGGCAGTGAACCTCTACAAATGGACAAGGGGTGTCAACACAAGGCCTGCAGGCAGGAAGTGACCAGTGGAGGGAAATGCCATGCTGTACAAAGAAATGGGTGGGAGTCTACTCGTAGGTGGGAAGGAAGCTGATGGGACTCGCCTGGTCTTAAACTCAGGGCCAGGCCAGAATGAACAATACATTTTGCTCATTCCAGCAGGAGATTCCAAAACAACAGCAATAGCAGGGCCTCACTGAATACACTAGGCAGCCACAGCCCAGTGCTCAGGGGCATTTTTGCAAACTAATCAATTCTTATCCGGCTAAGGTGGGTAGCCAAGCCCACCTAATGATCTGACCTCAAACTGTCCCTGAACGTAGCCAGATTCCACCCCTGCTGACAACGTGCTATCCATTTGTCTCAATGCTTCTTAAAATAGGGACGTGCCAGGATGGCTTTTCCTTCAGTGTTGACTCACCCGCTTTGGCCAGATCCATTGCAGTGAGTGCACCTGTCATTCAGTCGGTTCCCAGAGCCATGACAAATCCAGCACTGAACCTGGATTAATTAGATGGAAAAGGCAGAACTATGTATACTTTGCGAGAGCCGTTTGCTAGTGTTGCAACCTTCACCACCTCACTCTGGAAACAGATTGCAAGTTTAATAAACTCATAGATTTTTAAGGCCAGAAGGGCTCATTAGATCAGCTAATCTGGCCTTCTGTATATCACAGGCCACAGCAGTTCACATAGTAACCCCCTGTATTGGGTGCTGTTGACTGCAGCATTCCTAATAAACGTTAATTAATCTTTAAGGGCCCCTACTCTGCAAATGTCCTTTGCACTCATGGCCTAACTACCCAAACAAGTCCCATAAATGAAACAACTACAGCATCCTGGGAGAATGGATCTGTAAGCTCTTTGGGATGGAAACTATCTTTTTGTTCTGTGTGTGTGTACAGTGCCTAGCACAATTGGACCCTGGTCCATGAGAGAAGCTCCTAAGCACTATGACAATACATAATCAATAACAATAAATGCTGTAAAGCAGAACACAGTGTGACTGTGAATTCTTCCCAACCAACCTCATCCCCCTTCTCCGCTCACAAAGTTATCTGATTTGAGCATCTTTGTCTGGTTCTTATTAGGAATGTAAGAAATGTATAAAAATATCAAACTATGTTAATATTAGCCACACCACACCAGTGCGGCTGCTCTGGCCGGGCACCAATTAATCAGTTACTAGTAAGCATCACTGGTTAACTGGTTACATCCCTAGTTCTTAAGTTTTATTCTCGGGAATGGTGTCAAAATAAGTCCTAAGCAAAGGATCCCCTTTAGCGTGGCTACTCACCTTTCTTCTGCCATGACAATTTGTGCAGCAAATCGTACCTGAACTTCGACAATTATGGCAGCCCTTAAATCAAAGGAGAAATGTGAAAGGAAGTTTGACATTTCTTAATTTGCCTGCCCGCCCGCCCCTTGATACTCAAAAGAGACAATGAGAAACATGTTTTTCTTCTTTTGTGAAAATCATTGCTGTTTTAGAGAAACTCTGCGCCCAACACCCTCATTCATTACACTTTTATAAGGCCTTTTGTTTGAGGTTCTCAAAAAGCTCTACAGCTGCATCAAGCCAAATTACAACCACCTTTCTGCAGCTGCAATAGGGAGAGCAGGAAGGTCCTTGATTAACAGTGTGTTTCTGTAAGCCAGGTGTTCCCAAACTGGGGAGAGGGCTCTGGCTGTAAGCTACGTGCGAGCTGACAATCTGACCCTTTTCCAGCTGGGCAGCTGCTGGCTGAGTGCCCAGCTCTGAAGTCAGTGCCATCCCCAGCGGCAGCACAGAAGCATGGGTGGCATGGAATAGGGAGGCCATCACTTTTTGAGGGAGATGGGAAGGGTCATCCCAGCTTGAAATATTTTCAAAGGGCATCCCAGGAAAAATAGTTTGAGAACCCCTGCTGTAAGCAGTCACTGGTGCCTACACTCAAAGATCTATCCAATCAAGTGAGAGAGTGCTTTTGAATGACATGCATCCACTTCTATGATTTGTTTGAAGGGAGGCTAAAACACTGAGTCCATGTTTATACAAGGGAATTTTAGGAGGACAAACTACCACCAGGGATAACACTGATTCAAACTGATCCTGTAGTAGCACCAGTCAGACAAAAATTAGTGTGGACAAATTCAGGCTAACCCAATATTAGCCCAACGTGGGAATTTTTTCCTACAATTCTCGGGTGAAGATAATCAAGAAGGGGTCAGTCTACGTGAGAGCTCAAATGTTCAGTGTGTATGTTGGAGCGCTCAAAGGGCAGGGCTACATCTGTGCATTACACGCTGCTCTTCGCTTACGGATTCTAATTTCCCCTCAACAAAGAAAACCCACACAAAGAAATTAAACAAGCCTACTATGTCCTGTGATTTTGT